TGATGATTACCATATTATGCCTTATAAAATCGGAACTACTTATAGATGATAATGAAAAAAGTCAAAAGCGCAGTCTTCTAACTGTCGTTCATTTTAGAATGTCAATTGTTCATTTTTAAATTTAAGCCTTCAAACTTAGAGTACGTTATTGTCTCATACCTTACGCTTCGTCATAAAATTGTTTCATGTATCCAATCATCTGTTTCATTGATTTTCCTTCGATGGTCAACAGAAGTACAAAATTTTCGTCATTGCTGATCTGTATGCTGTTTTCATTTATTGTAGACTAAACTCTTATGGGGTCTTAAAACTTTTCTCAATGTTCATCTCCTAAATCACTGGTTATTTAACAAAATCACTGTTAAATCTTTTATTATGCATACTGTATCTTAAATAGCGTTGACATCAAAGAGTGCAAAACTTCTGATAAAATCAAGTATAAACATCTAAAAGATGATTGATATATATTGGGTCATTTATGATCAGTCGTAGATGAACACTTTGTTTGTTTATATTTTGTTTCTTGCCCCTAAGATTTTCAGAAATTTCATCATTTGTTTTTATTCATTATCGTATTTATTTATTTATTTCAACACATCGATATTTGTACAAAGAGGCACCAAATACATATGTGCCACACAAATCTTATTCGATATTTGTGAGGGCTGTGATACTGCCCGGGTAACCAGACCGAAACAGGTGGTTTTCTTAAGGGTCCATATCCGGAGCTTTCGACCTAAAGATCTAATCCACAAGGCAGTGGAGCAATGTCAGGAGATGCAGTTCCATGGTAGCCGGTGACCAACTTTTGGTTCATACGCCATTTGTTCCTTTAGGATACTGAAGCCCATGTGCACCATTGGTTTGGAATCTGGTTAAAGCGCGTGACATTCGCTTTTCGTCCTCTCATTTTCGTAAACAACACCCCTGCCACGAGAAGACAGTGAGTAGGACTTCCCTGGCAGAGGCTATATACGCGAGGCCGTGTGAGAGCATTTCGAGAGGGAGAGCGGACTCTCCCCACTCTCGGCCGTACCAGGGCATGTTAATAAATATAAAACACATTTCTATTAATTTCTTATTTGAAATAAACTTTGATTAAAAGGTTATAACTTCTAGTTTTATCAGATTTTTAATCTTCATCAAAATTTCCCACAGTTGAACGAATTATCAATATCTTTTAGATTAACAAGAATTTTTTCTTGTTTTAAAAACTGTCATTATGGACTACATTAATGAAATAAACACTCTTTCTATTGTGTAAATTACTTTAATTTATATAGGGAAACCTAATAGTGATCATCAATGTATGCGTTTTGATTTTATATTGTAGTTTCCATTATTGTTCTGAGTTCTTTAAATGAACAACTGGTTGTTGCCATTGTTACGTGTTGTTCACACAAACAGCATCAAATCTTAGTTTATATAACATGTTTTCCAATTCTGATAATAGTACAACTTTTGAAGATTATATCTTATATGAGATTGTATGCTAACACTACATATACACTTCATTTTTAGAGTAAATCCGGACAAAGACGTGATAGCCAACTTTCATCAGGACTGCATAGTTTGACCGATAAAGTATTATCATTACGTGATAATTTACGCACTGTACTTACTCGTCATCGTATTTCACCAATACACACTAATATTGAAGCAGTGGATAATCAAAATTTACTCGATACCTACAATAATGACGGTGACAATGAATCTGAATCTGAAATAATGAATACACAAAATCCTTTCATTGAAAAATCATTTATTTCATTAGGTACACAAAATTTTACTGATAATCAGAACAATATTTCTCTGGAGATACGAAAAGCGCGTAGCTGGAGTTCTCGAACATGTCGATAATCATTTCTATCATATTTTTTCCAAAGATTAGTTTTCTCTGTTTTTGTATCGTTTGATTGGATGAATAGATGTTAGTACCTAACTGCTTTTTTTTTTAACCCAAACTGATTTAAATAAATAATCTATGATATATTCCTACAGGTCAGTCGATAGTTGGTATATTTAACAGCCTTAATGCATTTCGTCTTGTTTGTCGATTTTATTTTCCTCAATTTTGGTGTCTCATTGATTCGTGTCAACTACACAAATTCTCACTGCTGATTTCCATTGGAATTGCTCTGCTCGGTCTCTCGATCTGTAATCTTATTCTATTGTGTCTTCTATTTTGCTTCCTTTAATTTCTTACTATCTGTAAAGTTGTTAATGCATCCAAATATCACTTTTTCATGTTATTTCTCTTCTAATTCTTGTTTTCGCCCTCAAATTGTGTTATTCCTTTGTCTGACTATTGTGATATACCATTACATACTGATAGGAAAATTTGTACATGTTTGAGAAGGAATATCCGCTTTCTGTGATTCCGTACATAATATAAACTTAAGCAGACAATATTGGTGTTAATATTTTGCTTTTTTTATTGAATTTTGAAAATGACTAAGTTAATTTACTATAAATAGCTAAATACTTTTTTGTGTTGATTGGAGTGAAATCATAACATTCGAAGTGAAACTGGTTGACCATAGTCAACATAGGGCTAGAAATAAATGTGCACTGGTACAATTCGATGCATATTATAATATCAGATGGACAGAAAATTCATTAGTTGATAAGCAAAGTAAGATAAATGTATCCAAATTTAGTAGAAAGGTAAAAATAAGAAATGCAGCTCAGGAGACAAATGAGATCTAAGAATGAAAAGTACTCTAATTGATTGTTTTAGATGAGCAGTGAATAAATGTAACTGCTACAATAAGATCCAATATCTTCAGCCATAAATCACTATTCCGTGTTTGTGAACCAAGTCTGAATTTATCGATACGGTACAGTCCAGAAATTAATGGCTTCAATAAAATTACGCTATATCTTTGATATGACTCGGAATTGGTCACAACTGCACAGATCCAGAGTCTTAATATACCTTCATCCATTCTTTTTTAACTCTATTCTCAATGTTTGGCCTTCATGATAATAGCTAGTACATTATTTCGACCACTTTGTTGTTCATCTTGTAGAGCTAATGTGGTATGGCAACTTGGGCTAACACATTTTCGTACCACTCTCTCTATTGACCTTAACTGGTTGACTTTATCTTCCATCTTACTCCTGTCCTTAAGCTTAACCTCAATATGAATCAGTTACAAGTTTCATCATGCGCGAATGGTCCTTAAATTTGCCTAAAATTAGATTCTTGCCAACTACAAAGGTTCTCTACTTTTATAGACTATGATTGGAGCTGCAGAGCAATAAGGATTTGACCTCTACGCAGCAGAAGTATGTCTACTGTCTGCCAGGGATTTTGTGGGTTGGGAAACGGCAGGTGTTTTTGTACTCACCAAAACCTAGTTACTTGGTCATTACGCCTGGAAATCTCATTCTTCAATAGGAGGGATCCAGAAACTAGTATATGGAATGCTTTTACCATTACATTTTGGTTACATCATGTAAGCTATGTCGAAGATGGTTGTTGCTAAATATTCGTAACTTCGAACGATACAAGTTCGAACCACAATAGATATTACCGGGTAGCATGTTCTAAATGAGTAACGCAAATTGATTCTTGTCCAAATATTCGCCCTCATATCGTTTGTACCGGCACTTTTATCCAGTCTTAGTATACTTATCTCGTCGGTTTGTTACAATGATGTACCCATACACTAAAGTACTACCTCCTATAGATACGTACCGTCCAAGTGACTAAATCTTCTTTGCTCCAGCCAACATTCCGTGTCGAGCCAGAATTCCAGATGCCACAAACTAAACGCCCCACGTTGTCGTCTACCCGCTTTTAGATCTCAATTACTGAGACTCCTAGATTGCCTACATGGAAACGTTTACTAGCGGGCAGCCAACCTGATATAAAAAGTGTGTAACCTATAACTCTTATGCGGGTGTAAAGAATTATATAGTTTGTTTTTAGCACGTAAGTAATTCGCCGCTGCTAATCGTGACAAACACTTCTAACAGACTTCTACTTGACTATAAATTCGATAGACAAGATAACCTGCACGAGTTTCTCCCAGGGTTATGAGCATCATCTCAGAGCAACCCAAAGAGAGACTTAGTGTTAATACATACATGATAATGAGCTCAACCAGCAATAAATTTGGTCAGAGCTAGTTTTAAGTTTGAAAACCAACAGAACGTAGTACAAACACTGGAAATAACTAGTAGACCATGCATAAAGTAGAACCAAACTGTGATATGAACATGTCCGTTCAACAAGAATGAGTCGGATCTACCACCGCTAACTGATGTTTGACAGGTCACTGACGTTAAGGAAACAGTGACTATGCCCATCCACCGACTATCTCCATTATGTTTGGCTCAGGTGTAGAGGCTGAATGAAAGCCAAGGGTTGTCGGAAATGACGGTGTCAGTCCGTGATATCATGGACTGGGCCATTTAAACAGACGCAGAGTACCCGTCTGGTGCTCTCGTGATCGCTATGCCCAAAAGTTATAAACCTTAGATGACAGTTCAAGCTGTTCACGATGGTCCATAACCCAGCTACCGCACATATCATACCTCTTCGGAATGTATCCTTCATCTTTTCTATCAACATGATCACAGCCACTACTCTTAGCAACATCTTAGCAATCTTATCTTTTCGGGCTAACGGACTATTGCAACTTGAGATGGTGTACCAATGTGCCAGGTTCGACAAACGTTAATAAGAAATGTGTCAGGCTTGTGTAACAGTCTTAACATGGTAAGGACAAACGCGAACCTACTTTTAGCTCTCCGACTAAACGACCAATGCGGAATACAGGCAACAAACACTACGAAGCTATTAGAACATTTGGGATTCCCATTGTGAAAATCAGAACACATGTAAGCGAACAAATGATTCCAAGCAGATCGTCATCAGGCTTTCCTCTGATACACATGAATATAAATATTCACGCTCTATTAGAATATTAAGACCGGAATAAGGGATGTTATGTAGCCCTTAGTAAAAAACATTAAGAAAACTACCATAATCATGTGTGTATCCAATATATTCTGTACATAAGATTAAATCAACCAAACAAGTCAAAGCCCATCGATTCATCAGAATCGTCATCTGAAACTGGTTTCTTTTCTTCTTTTGCAGGTTCTTTTCCCTTTTCGGCACCACCGTTGGCTACTGCCGCTGGAGCCGAAGTTGGGGCAGCAGCAGCAGGTGCAGCAGACCCCATTGACATGAGCAGATCTTTGACATTCTTTCCGTTTAGAGCCGTTGCAAAAAGATTGGGAAGATACGATTCAACAAACTTGATGTTAGCAGCCTTCAGGATGGTATTTATTTTGTCAGCTGAAAATACAGAATTACTATATTAGCTCAAAAATAACAGTACTCTTTACACAAAATATGCATTATAGTGTGACACTTACTACAAAGCATTTAAATCACAACACTAGTATACAAAATAAACTACGCTAATAGTATGAAATATTCGAAAGCTAAAAGATACCAACTTTATTTCAATTACCTGTAACGTCGATATCATCGTCAGCTAACATCAAGGCGGCGTAAACACATGCTAACTCGCTTTTGGACATAATTATAAACGTGAGCTGCAATAAGCCTTAGCCACGAGGGGAGCACCACGTTTGTAAAGCACCGACCCACTAATTCAAACAAAAGAGGAACGCTCTTCAACTGTATCAATAAAATCTAAAGTGCAGTTTTATAATCTATATAGATTCACATTATCAAATAACAATTATTGGTGTTTCTAATGCTATGCGACCATTATAGATGCGATAATATGTTTTGAATGGGCTGTATAGACTTGGTCTGCTTTTACTTGTCAGAGAACGTAACTCATTGTCCTGACTGTTGCCAAACAAACAAGCCAACAGGTTGGATTTTAATTTTTCTATCCTTGCATCAGAGATTGTTGGATTTCTAATCTCGAACTCCCCAGGACAAAGTATTCTTTAAAATCATTACACCCCTTCATAACTGATGAGTGCACTCAAAAAACAACTTTCCAAAAAGGAACAAAGACATTTGAAAGGTAGAAGTCAAAAATCTACTCTGGTTGAGAGATTACTGGTTTATCAAAGTGGACAAATAACTAAATCCTCCAGAGGATATCCCTCTTTATTCTGTCTGGTAATGCTCTTCATGAGGATTGTAGTGGTGAGTATGGTGTCGACACTGATGCTGAACTCATTGGTTTTACTGAACATGCCTTGTAAAAATCGCTCAATTATGCATATGCACCAGCTCACGAGTAAGTTTGGTGTTCTGTGTATACCTCGCAACTGCTAGCCAGGTTAGAACAAACACTTCTTGACACATCTATTGCTTTCAGAGTACGTCTTCGAACCCCTTCATTTCTGACTTCTGATTCGACCAGGTCGTTACAATTCGATCATAAAAGTATTACATGTAAAGGTGTTGGTAAACTTTAAATCCCTGTAGCAATTAAGGATTATACACCGAAGCCAATGTTCATACTACAGAGGAATACTCATAAAATTATCGGAAGCAAGCGCACTATCTAGAACAGTTGATGTCGTGCTACTGAGAGATTAGTGGTTGTGCCACTCACTGCTTGTGTCCGAAGAATCAAACTAGGTAGATCTAAATCTAAAACACAAATTTTTCTTGTATAACGAAGTCATCAAAAAACAAACTTTAGTTCCTCAACTTTGTTACTAGAATGGACGCGTACACAATACTGAATATCCTAGATCTAGACTTCTCAGCAGTACACAGCTCACCCTTCAAAACCGAAGGAATTTCTGGTCACTAGAACTACATAAGCCTTTTATCTAGATGGCATTAAACTCACTATTCTGTAGGAATGCGCTAATCTTTCTTGCCTTTCGCTAGCTATTGTCTTCAGTTTTTCCTTGGCCAAAATCAGGCTACCCTCTGAATGGAAAAAGGCATTGGTTATGTCTATGCAAAAATGAGATTACAAGATGAAAGCGTCCAATTACTAGCTAATACCCCTGTTATCTTCAGTAGCGAATATATCAAGAGGGGTTTTCAATTTGTCAGTAGCAACGTATTTCCACAGGATGAGTAGGCGACGGCGTATGTCAAAGTATTCCTGTGCCCTTACCATCTCATTACAATTAACAGTACGATTTCGCCCATACGTTTGTTGCCTTCAGTTTAAATGTTCTTCAAACAATCTGACAAGCACGGTGGGACCCAAATAAACAAATGTTCCAGGTAATATATGTTATTCATTACTATGGACAAGGCTGTTCAACGCTACAAGGTAGCAGCTAAGACAAACAAAAATGGCACAAACTAAGAAAGTACAATAAAAAAGCGGTTAGCCAATATGACACGTATCGTATTCAGATATCAAGAAAAACAAAATGAGTATCAGCCAAGGAGTACCAAAACAGAACTAATACAATAAAAGAAATGCAAATGTAGTTAATTATCAGCAATGAACCTGTCTTTGGTCAAAGACTATATATTATTTTAAAACAAATTGATGGATAACACGCGATACATGATAACTAAATATTCGTGTAATATAATATGTTTATAAGAGGCATTTCCTCACTCTCATACCTACACATGCACACACCAAAATACATGCAAAATGATAATATACATAATACAACGAAAGCTTTCATTACGCCTCAAGCTTTGCCCCAGTTTCTTCAAAAAATCGATCACAACCAGCGAATATGGAACTGTTTCTGATCAGAAAACGAATTGAAGATGAATTTCTGATGTCGTCAATGGTATTGCTGTTAGATAAACACTGACACCGAGCCAAATACTCAACACCACCGGAGCGAATAAAACTTAATCAATTGGAGCTATAGGATAGGATTTTAACGCACTCAAACAAAAATAATGCTTTCGATGCTGTATTTATTTATTTATTTCAATCCTTTTTATCAATGAAATCAACCCAAGGGCAGCAGGAAACATTGTAAGTATTACAGTTAACGCATGTGAGTTTGTCTGATAACATCCTAATTCGATTATCTTTGAACCAAGAAACACAAATATATATCTATGATATGTTTCTGTTAAAAGACTTTCTAAACATACAAATTCTGGAAAGTATATAAAGACCGTATTAATTTTGGTATGACAATAATCATTTTTTAACTTTCAAGCTTGTAAAGCATGAGAAACAGATTTATAAAGTATCTGTAATTTCTTACAGCGTATATCAGCCATCTTCACCTATATTTGAAATATGTCAGTCAAATCCATACAGGGAGCCCCGACCGTTGTTGCTACCTTGACGTGGTGGTCATGCTTGCCTATCGTGATGAAACAATCGAGCTATACTAGCTGAAACAATCGTTCATCAAGGTCCTACTATACCAGACAGGTCGGTTGAATAGCGGTAAGACTAAAAACAGCAAACCCGAAGGCGAAGTCGTACTGCTGACTGCAGAGAGGTGTGACAGCAGTAAGGTGTTTCCTTCAGACAACCAGCATGACGGCGATGCTGCCTTCCCACAAGGAAGGGTAGGGTTAGAATATATCGACCCTATAAATGCACACCTCGCCTTATCCCACGGATATCCGTCTCCGGCAGTAAGGTCTCAACAAGTACAAAGCTAACACGAAAATCGCTCACAAAATGGTTGTGTGTGACGGACCTCAGGCGGTTGTCCCTTTGGCACTGAGGTCACGCTCTCAGGTCACTAAGACCACCCCTAACCCAGTTTCCTTTTCACGTACCTCCAGAAGAACCCTTCCACGGTGTGGGCAACCGCCCTCATAACTCTAACAGCATCCAAGACCACTGGATTCATAATCAACCTCCCTCTTCAATTCCTATTATTCCTCCTACATCGACTTTCAAGTCTAAATTTCCTCACTCGGCTTCCTCCTCAAATGTCACCATAGCCAACGATTCTAGTGCTCAAAACACTGTCACAGGTCTACTGCAACCTCGCTCCAAACTACACATTGGGGCCTTCAACGTATGCACCCTATATCAAATTGGTCAACAAGCTTTCTTAGCTAGAACCCTAGAATCTCGTACCATTGATGTATGCTGTGTCTCTGAAACACGCATAAAGGATCCCATTGTGGTCATTCACTTGACCTCACCTCGGCAAAACGGAGAGCCAACGAGATACACCCTCCGGATACCTGGTGGCCCGATGGCCAGTTCCCGTGGACTAGCAGGAGTAGGCATAGCATTAACCATGAGTGCGGAACAAGCACTGTTAGAGTGGATCCCCGTTATTAGTCGTTTATGTACTGTTCGGCTAAACGGCTCCGTAAGAACTCGGAAGGATAAGGACACACGTCGTTGCCTTTTTGTCGTTTCTGCCAACGCTCCCACCGACTGCAGCTCAGATGAAGTGAAGGATGAATTTTACAGAAAACTATCTGAACTTCTTCAGAAAGCTAAACGTTCAGACATAGTAGTCGTATCAGGTGACTTTAATGCCCAGATAGGTAGTTTAAACCAAACAGAAAGGCATTTATGTGGGTATTTTTGTATACCGGCACAACGAACAGCTAATGGTGATCGTCTGCTGCAACTATGCTCAGACAATCGCTTAATTTTAGCAAACACAAATTTTAAGCATAAGGAGAGACATCGTCTAACATGGCGACTGCCTACACCAAACCAACGATGGACTCAAATAGACCATATTGCCATCAGTCATCGTTGGAGAGGGTCGGTAGAAGATTGTCGCTCATTCTGGAGTACCTGCTTGGACTCCGACCACGTCCTAATACGGGCACGCATCTGCTTGCGCCTCACTGGACGCAAAAAAGTCACATTAAAAAGACCCGTTAGAAGTGAGTTGAGTAACGAGAAAACCAAAAGTAGGTTCCAGGAACAACTGAGGTCACACTTAGGTAGTTCTGAAAACGAGGCTGACCCAGATGTTGCTTGGAAAGGCATACAATCAGCTGTGGAAACAGCAGTGACATCTATTAGAGACTTGAACCACAGAGTTACAAAGAAACAGTGGATTTCTTCAAGGTCTATCACACTGATGGGTTCTCGTAAACTCATCCCATCAGGCTCTGAACTCGATGAAGAGCGACAACAAATCAGATCTAGGTTAAGCAGAAGTCTAGGGAACGACCGTGAGCAGTGGTGGGCAACGAAAGCAAAAGAGATGGAAAAGGCGGCGGCTATAGGGAACACAAGACAGCTCTACAGACTAATAAAAGAAACTGGAATTAATAAGTCAAGTGTAAGTGAGATTATTTCGGAAAAAGACGATACTCTCAGTTCAGACGTTTAGAACGATGGGCGGAACACTTTAGGGAACAGTTCAGCTGGCCTTCAGCTACTCTACAACTACTCTCCATTCCCAAACAGCGTGAATGGAACATTGAAGTAGGTCCCTCAACTCTTGCTGAAGTTCGAATGGCTATAGATAATCTGAAACGAGGAAAAGCAGCTGGTCCAGATGGATTGGCTCCAGAGGTCTTTAAGGACGGTGGTGCAATTTTAGCGATTAGGTTGACTAATATTTTAGCTAAGATCTGGGAGTTGGACGTTATTCCATCTGACTGGTCGCAATCACTTATCGTCCCAATATATAAGAAAGGATCAAAATCATCTTGTGACAACCACAGAGGGATTAGTTTAACTAATATAATATCTAAAATACTAGCCTCAATAATAATCAGACGCCTAACTAAGACTCGTGAACCGCAAACACGAGAAAACCAAGCTGGCTTCAGACCTGGTCGTGGCTGCATCGACCACATATTCACCATTCGTCAGATTCTAGAACACAGGCATACTTATCGGCGTCCGACGATGGTTGTCGTTCTTGAATTAAAAGTAGCATTTGACTTTGGAGACCGATAGGTTCTGTGGCAGTG